TTTAGTGAGGGAATTTTGTTTGCTGTTGCAGTCCTGAATGAATAAGACTGACATTGTGACTACATTTTCTGAAGTTGGAGAATATTCATTGAAGACATCTTGCCCTCTCTGAATGAGAAATCCCAGTTTACCCCAGAAAGTAGTAAGATACCATTCATGGGAAACAAACAGTAACTTTATAGCTTGTGGCAAGGTTCCCATTACAGGGATTAAATAGGGTCATTTATGGGGGCTGGAGGGAGCACTGGCTGCTCTTCCAGAGGATCTAGGTTCAATTCCCAGCACCCACACGGCAGCTCACACCTGTCTGTAGCTCCAGTTCCAGGGCTTCTGACACCCTCACACAGACATGTAGGCAGGCAAAACACCAATGAACATAAAATAAAAATAAATTATATATTTAAAAATAGGGTCATTTATTTAAACTGCTATCCACTGATATGCACTGGGCTATCCACTAGCTACATGCTTAAAGCTTCAATGTTGACTGTTTACATGTTCAGAAGATTCTTGGACCCATGTTAAGCAAACAATCATGAATGTCTAGAAGCATCATCATAGAGTACTACATGTTACCACACTTGAAGAGTATGGCCTGGAAGGGAGCACACCTTGGTCACGGTATTCTCTCACTTATTAGGCTCTTAGGATTTTGACACAATCACACACTTGATTTCAGGCCTTTCTATGAAATGGGAACAATTCCAATGACCTAAACAATCCCTTCTAAGTCTAAGACTTGATATTCTAAGAGTCAGGATCTCAAGACCTGAATTCTGTATGAAGTACATTAAAGATGCCTCCGTGAGGAACAGGAAGGCTGAATATAAAGGCTAACACAGCCAACTATCTAGTAGGTGCTCAATTGAATCATAATTTGCAGGAAGTAGTAGCCTCTATATATGACTATATAGAACAGCTATATGAAAATATAAAATATATTATAATCAAAAGCCAAGGATGAAAAGACTCCAAATTTTAAGCACGGATTCAAATTCTCCATTTCTGCTTCCTCTTTAAATGCTGGATGGCTTTCTAGTACAGCTCTCATGTAAACCCTAGTATTAGAGGTCAAGGGAAAAACAACATATACAAGCAGCCGGTTCTGCCCAGTATCACTTTATACTAAATCTAGAACAATACCTTAAAATCACAGGAAAGGTGTATGTGTGTGTTGGGCCGGGGGATGGGGGAGGCACAGATGGACACGACACGGGACACGACCATCTCTTGAAATCTTACCTCCAGATTTACCATAACAAAATTATGGGACAGTTCTGAAATTTCTGTAGATTCTGCAAATTTGGGTTTTAAAGCTAGGGAGAAAAAAAGAAAAGATTTTGCAAAAATCAACTAAACAGTAAAAAGTTTAAGAAAAAACAGGGTCTCTTAGTGGAACTCATGCTATCCTTGAATTTCTGATCCTCCTGCCTCAGGCTCCCAAGTACTGGGATTACATGCACTATAGTACCTAGCTGTTACACTCCTCTTATTTACGTTATTTTATTTTTGAGACAAGGTGACCTCGAACTTGTGCCAATGCTTTTGTTTCATCTGTCCTACTTTTGACTCAGGGTATCTAATCCTGAGAGCTGCACTAGTTGTAGTGTATCAGTGAAAGAGAAACCCTGACTGGTAACAGGGCAGGCAGAAAGAGTACACGCCACAGTCAAAAGTCCTCTGCTTCTGATTAGCTGTCTCCTTCCCTACACCATCATGTCCCCCTGTACAGAATTCCAGGTTCTACTTAGATGTGCTGTATCTTTATCACCCCAATCCCCCTCACAGCCCCTGTAAAAATAACTGCAAATTTCATGAAGGGAGCGAATGTGTCTTTGGTATTGCTTAAGGCAGCAGTGTCCTGGCAGCACCAACACTATAACATTTATAACACATTTCAAGCCCGATGTCGGGGTGAAACACTTGTACTTACCTTTGCAAGCTCCACACCAAGACTTATGGATGATCACCATCAGGGGCAAGCCGCTTAAAAACAAAGAAATTATATTCTAGTAAAATCCTTCAAAAGTACGCAAATAAAACAATCAGTTCATTGAGTCAAACAGTACTGCATAGAAATGTTCCTGGCTAAGTGGTGGTGGCCCACACCTTTAATCTCAGCACTTGGGAGGCAGAGGCAGGCGGATCTCCGTGAGTTCAAGGCCAGCCTGGTCTACAGAGCGAGTTCCAAGACAGCCAAGGAGGCTACACAGAGAAACCCTGTTGCAAAAAACCAAACCAAAAAAAAGTTCCTGTTGAGTAGTTCCAGTTGAAATATTATAAAACCATCCAACTAATTATTATCAGAAAAACTATTGCAAATTCTGTTTCCATAAATTCTGAAAATTTGGCTTTAAAGGAAGGCCAGGCATTAGTGGCGCACACCTTTAATCCCAGCACTTGGGAGGCAGAGGCAGGCAGATCTCTGTGAGTTTGAGGTCAGCCTGGTCTACAGCGCAAGTTCCAGGACAGCTTCCAAAACAATACAGAGAAACCCTATCTGGAAAAAAGACAAAAACAAAAAAACAAGCAAACAAAATTAAAAAGAAGGGGGCTGGAGAGATGGCTGAAAGGTTAAGAACACTGGCTGTTCTTCCAGAGGTCCTGAGTTCAATTCCCAGCAACCACATGGTGGCTCACAACCATCTTTGGTTTTTTTTTTTTTTTTTTTTTTTTGGTTTTTCGAGACAGGGTTTCTCTGTGGCTTTGGAGGCTGTCCTGGAACTTGCTTGGTAGTCCAGGCTGGTCTCGAATTTACAGAGATCCGCCTGCCTCTGCCTCCCGAGTGCTGGGATTAAAGGCGTGTGCCACCAACGCCCGGCCACAACCATCTTATAATGAGATCTGGTGCCCTCTTCTGGCACACAGGCATATATGCAGACAGAACACTGTATACATAATAAATCTTAAAAAAAGAAAAAAAAGTAGAATAGCCAGGCTGGAGAGATAGCTCATCGGTTAAGAACACTGACTGTTCTTTCAGAGGTCCTGAGTTCAATTCCTGGCAACCACATGGTGGCTCACAACCACCTTGAATGAGATCTGGTACCCTCTGCTGGCATGCAGGCAGAAGACTGTATACACAATAAACAAATAAAATATTTTAAAAAGTAGAATAGCCTAAAAACATCAAATTACAATATTTTAGATGTTATTGTATCTCTAAGTGACTATTAATAATTGCAAGTGTAAATAAAAATCTTCCTTAGCATACTAAGTATAAAATTAGAATATAAAATTATTGATGGGGTTAGGGAGATGACTCAGTGGGTAAAATGCTTGCTGTGTAAGCATGACAGCTTGAGTGTCAATCCCCAGCACCTATTCAGGTATCCTCTTCACTACACTGAGACAAGGTACCATCTCTACATCACCTAGACTCAAAACCATACAGTACTACCGATAACACACCGTGTTCACTATACACCAGTGCTATTCTACATGGTAAGTGTTAGGTAAACTATTTGGCTACCTTACCTTAGGCTTACTGAGAATCTGAATGGACTGACCTGTGCCTTTGACATTTGTAATGGCTTACAAACCACAGGACAAGTGTACATGGATGGCAGGATGTGACTATCACTAGAACACACTAAACTACACAGTCCCACTAACAACCCTGGAGTAGAAACTTTTAAAAAAATTATGATTATGGGCCAGGCATGGTGACACGAGGTTTTATTGCCAGCAGTCTGGAGGCTGACCTTTGAATTCAAGGCTAACTTGGTCTAAATAGTGGGCTGCTGGCCAGCTAAGACTACGCAATGAGGCCCTGCACCCCAATAAATAATTACATTTACTTGAGTGTGAAAAATACTTATTTAGGTTTTTCGGAACAGGGTTTCTCTGTGTAGCTCTGGCTGCCCTAGAACTCAACTCTGTAGACCAGGCTGACCTCAAACTCATAGATCAGCATGCCTCTGCTTCCCTGAGTGGCAGGATTAAAGGTGTGTGCCCCCCCTGCCCATCGTAATAATTATATTTGAGTGTGAGTGCTCCAGGGAGGAAGGGAGACCTAGGAAGGGAGAGAGTATGTACACTGGAGACCAGAAGTCCTCTCCTTTTATGGTGTAAGTCCTGGGGACTGAACTTGGACTGTCGGCTTGGAGGCCAGCACTCTTCCTGACCAGCCATTTCACCTGTCCTTTCACTTTTGACTCAGGGTATCTAATTATGTAACCTAAACTGGCTTAGAACTCATGGCACTCTTCCTGCCTCAGTCTCCTGAGTGCTAGGATTACAAGCATATGCCAACACACTCATCTAAGGTGGACACTATTAACAGTCTGATAGAAATGAAAAAATTAATCTGTGATGTAGCTCAATGGTAGAGCACTTGTCCAGCATGTGCAAGGTTCTGGATTCAATCCCCAGCCCCGTCCAGAAAGACCAAGACTCCCAAGAGACTAAATAACTGATCACATAAAATTTAAGTTCTGTCATTTATAAGCTAACAGAGACTGATTCCCAAACAAATGTTCTTTTTGACCCTTATAGTATCCTTCATTTAGAAGAGTCATCTAGGTAGAGCATACTAAGCATGTTTGCATTCCACACAAACAATTTGTCAAGGCCAAAGCCAAGTCTGAAAAATCATACGGATAATGAGGATTCAGTAAGATGAAGCACAATCATTGGGTGCCACAACACACAGGTCAAACGATTGAGCCTCTCATATAAAATATACTATCAGTCAAAGATATGCCACGATACATGTATATATAAAGTTTTAAGTTTCAGGGATAACATTAAATTAAGAGTCCAGCAGCTAACTTTAAAGCATTTTATTATAGAAAATACCTAATGGTTGTCTTACACAAATATCTGTTTCCCAGAACAAAAGATGTATCTGTGCTTGGTGCTCCAGGATAGACAGCAAGAAGTGATGTACTCAAAAATACTTGTAGTATGAAAGAAGGGCCACTCAAAACTGTCACTGTCGTTTTCTACTCACAGCTGACTTAAGACAATTCTCCTCCATCCCGACGCAGTAGTCCCAAGCAGAGCCCAGCCAAAGAAAAACTCTGCCCACCTGAGCTTTCTGAAGCTACCACTCCTACGCTTCAGCTTATGCTATACACACAGAGGCAGGCAAGAAGATGAGTCAGTCAAACTTAGCAATCCTACTACAGTGTGCGCCCTGCCCACCCTCAGATCATCCTTCCTAGACAAAGTCCAGAGGAATTCAGACAGGAGCTATCCCACTGCCTCTGTTAGTTCAAACTTTGTCTCAGATACTGAAGAAACATGTTGGCCAGTTGAGGTAGGTTCTCGTTGTTCGGATGCATTTTTGTGTAGGAAATAAACTGGCGACGGAGGCGACTCAGTTCCGCCATGGTCAGGGGCCGGGTAAACTGGAGGTGCTCTGTGGTGCCAGGAAGTGTTAGCACGTCTCCGGGTACAGCGCTCTTCTGGGCTTCCATCAGAGCAGTCAACACCTGGCTGGTGGCCTGATCCAACTGGTGCAGGAAGCTGCCAGAGGCTAGGGGCTGGGACTGCGTGGACTGATGGGGCGGCGGCGCCCGGTTCTCAAACAGGGCAGCCCGGATCTCAGCCAGGGGCAACGGCTCTTCTAAACCCACCACGGTGAACAAAGGTCGATCCCAGCGGTTCCGAGAGTCAGGAGCTTCAAAGCGCTGCGATAAGGACTTCAAAAGCTCGGGAGGAAAGGCACTGGAGGCAGGCTCTGCACATTTCTCCGACTCCAGAGTGTCTACAGCTTCAAGATCTGATGGCAGGATTTCTTCTGGATCCAGTTCCCTGGGGACAGCAGGCAGGGCTGCCCCATTTGCTACCGGGCTGGCGGCGCGCGGTCTCCAGCTCACACTGACAGCCGGACCGCGGTTCTCGTCGGCGTCAGCCACCAGAGGTCTACGGCTCGGCCACACCGGGCGTATGCAGTAAACCAGGCAGAGCGGCGTGCGCGCAGCCCGCGCCAGGCAGTACAGCTCGTAGCGGAAGCCCTTGATGTAGTTCACCGAGTCCAGGATGACCACGTCCTGCCGGCTCAGGCGCCGCTCCACCGCGGCCCGCAGCGCGGCGCGCAGCGCCTTCTCACGGACAGAGTCGCCGTACACCGTCGCGTCCTGGCCGCCCAGCACCGAAGCATCGTCCACCACGTACACCGTGTGGCCCTCGCCGGCCAGCGCCCGGCGTAGCTCTTCTGTACGCTGGCTCTTGCCGCTCGACGGAAGCCCGCAGAACACTACCAGCGGCATCCTCTCTACCGCCACCCATGTGCGGACGTTTAAGGCAACTTCCGGTACGGACCGGAAATGAAGCCGGAACATCCTGTTTCTCTATGCTGTCACATGATCTTTTGTTTCTATGGAAACGGGAATGCTAAACTAACTCGTTCAAGGACCAAAATTCTCAGGAGACGTAGAGATTAGAATGGCATCAGTTATTTACACCAAATGTTATAGGCGTAAGAGAATATGATTGCCCGGTAGTCAAAGAAAATGCCTATTTATTAATTAGGATTTAATGGGCATTCTACAAAATTACTAGCACCACATTTAGCATACAGAAAGCAATTTACACCATGTAGTTCTTAGCAAATGTTTACTCATAACAACTATCTCAATCGTCAACATCTTTCCATGGTATGATATGAACATAAAACTGTTCCCCTAAGGAAATCAAGGGTCTTAACTGGGAGAATTAAGTGTTCACACACAATTAAAAAATGCTATGGGTAGCCGTACATTAGTGTGAAGAACAAACACAAAACAGATTTTTCAATTAAATCTGAATTTAAGATTTTTAAAAATTTCACTAAGCTGCATGGACATACTGTATTTTCCTTTGTGTAAAATTTAAATTTAGATAGGCATCTTTTATTACTGTTATTAAATTTGGCAATTCTACTACAGAAGGTTTGGGACCCCAATGGCATGCGACTGTAGGATCTGTTCTGGAACAGCAAGTACTAGTTTGGTAGGTGCAGAAGTGTAAGTGTGAGCATGTCTATGCCCATAGTGTGGTATAATTTAGGACACATAGGTGGGGGTAGAGTAAGTCTCCAATACAGTACAGTAGAGAAATGAAAGTCCTGGCTCCGCCATGTAATAGCAGTTTAAATACTGGAAAGTATTTTCTGTATTTCAGTTCCTTTTCTATAAAATGTAACAGTTATTTCATAGGTGTACCAATCCCAGAGGTTGTGAAAACTAAAACCAATCCTTGTAAACATGACAGTTCCTGGCCTCTGCCTCCTCCCCCAGCCCTTATGTTCTGGGTTGTTGTAAACAAGCCTGAAACATAACACTAGTTTTTAGTAGGCAGTATAACTTCTGGGTTGAGACCACAGGCTTTTTAGTTAAAGAACCTAAAGAGATGTTGGAAGCTCAGCTCTGCTCTATAACAACTTATGATCCTGGACAAATTAACTATTGAGTGGTTTAATTTCTCATTGCTAAAAAAGAAAGTAACAATACTCAATAGAAATGTGAAAATTAGGGCTGGAGAGATGGTTCAGTGATTAAGAACACCAACTGTTCTTCCAGAGGACCCAGGGTTCAATTCCTACCACCCACATGGCAGCTCACAACTATCTGCAACTCCAGTTCCAGGGGACCTGACACCCATGGCAAAACACCAATGCACATAAAATAAATTTAAAAAAATAGGAGTGTGAAAACTAAATGAGTTATTTCAGATTATTTAACTCCCAGGGCACAGTAAGTGCTGAGTTTTTGTTACTGGGAAGTTATTTAGTTCTTGTGGGGCCTTGACATGTCCCTCCACCTGAAAGCAATGCTAAGTTAATGGCTAGAAATCGTCGTTACTGTAAACAGCATGACACCATGCTTTATACCTTGCAGCTGCTTCTTTCTTCCCATCTTCTAAGGTCCTCCAGTGAATATGATCTCCAAAACCTAGAAGGAAAGAGCCTTATAAACACATCCATACAATGAACAAAGAGCACAGCACAGAAAGAAGTAAGACATGTTTGTAATAGATCTACAAACAAGAAAAAAGAAAAAAAAAAAAAAAGGGCCGGGCCTTAGTGTCGCATCCTTTACCCCCAGCACTGGGGAGGCAGGGGCAGGTGAGTTCAAGGCCAGAGTGATGTACAAAGCAAGTGTCAGGATAGGCTCCAAAGCTGAAAACGGAGGTGGGGGGAAGGCTTTCCTCTGCTGAGAGCCTGGGGCTCACTGTTTTCTGGGCATACTGAGCCATGAATAGTCCACACCCCACAAGTATGTTTTCATGCTTCTCAATGGAGAAAACACCATCCAACTAATAATTGTTACGGAGATTAAATAATGATGTGAAATGCTAGGCCAACAATACTGTAGGAATGAATGAGGATGTCCTACACTTTAAACAGAAACCATATCACTGAAATGACACATGGTGCAACTTTAGAGTCACAAAGACATGAGTCTGTAACTTCACTTTCCATTAAGTAAGTGGGGTTTTGGATGAAGCCATCTAAACCCAATCTCACCTTCTATAAAATGAAGACACTAATTTCTCCCCTGAATATTGGTATAAGGAACTAATAAATGAGGTCAGGTACGTGCATCAATTGTCATTATTCCCACAATTCAGCCAGAATGTTTTTTTTCTTTTTAAAATTACATTCATTTACTTATTTGTGGGTATACATATACCATAGCCTCCTTGTGGAAGTTGGAGGACAACCTTCAAGAGTTGGCCCTCTCTTTCCACCATGTGAGTCCCAGGGACTGGGCTTAGGTTAGCAAGATTTGTGGTAAGTGTCTTTACCCACTGACCCATCTCCCTGGTCCCCATGATCTTTTCCAGTTACATCACTGCTTAGTAAGAACATTTCCTCCCAGCACTCGGGAGGCAGAGGCAGGCAGATCTCTGTGAGTTCGAGACCAGCCTAGTCTACAGAGCGAGTTCTAGGAGAGCCTCCAAACAACACAGAGAAACCTTGTCTCAAAAAACCAAAAAAAAAAAAAAAAAAAAAAAAAAAGGCGTGGTGGTGACACACGCCTTTAATTGCAGCACTTGGAGGGCAGAACAGGCAGATCTGTTAAGAGTTAGAGGCCAGCCTGGTCTACAGAGTGAGTTCCAGGACAGTCAAGGCTACACAGAGAAAGCCTGTCTTGAAAAACCCAAGCAAAACAAAAACAAAACAAAAAACCTAGCTGGGTGTGGTGGGCAGACCCTCAGTTCTAACACTCAGGGAGAGGAGCTGGCAGGTGATCTCTGTGAGTTCCAAAGCAAGCCTGGTATACACAGAGTTCTAGGACAGCTAAAGCTACATGACAGAGCTTGTCTTAAAAGCAAACAAACAACAACAACAACAACAAAAATTAAAAGCATCCCACCCATTTTTGCAACTTCACTCTATGCTTTTCTTAAAACTCAAGACACATCTCTTTACAGGCAGCACTGTACTCCATCCCCTCTAGGCTTTTTCATGACTGATCCACCTCTGCCTTTCTTCCCAACTCCCGCCTTGCACTCAGCACTAAGGTCTAAGTCCAGGGGGCATTTCTTCTGATAGGGCCTGCTCTCAAACCACTCCATTCTTGTCCCACCACAACATTTTCCAGACAGAATCTTTAAATATTTGTGTGTCCATTTCCCTTACTCCAAGGGGAATTCCCTACATGCTGGGACCAAATCTCTTATATCTTTTCCTGTTTCCCTAGCACTTGGCAGTACACATGACGGTTGCATGTAATCCATAAGAGAGTTCTTGAAAATCTGATGTTATATCCAGAAAACATTAGTGATCATAATGCTAGGTACTATTTATTTACATTTATTTGTTCTATTCCCTCCCACAAAAACCCTTCTTCCTAGTAAGTCCCCCTCCTATTTGTGTATCTGTCCATTTAATTAGGGTTGCTTGCATGAGCCTGGATGGAAGGTTACCTATTTGAGGAAGGGGCAACTTACTAATGGCTACACCACTGTGGAAAGACTCCTTCTCCAGCCACCATTGAGTTACACACCAGGAAGCCCATGGCTAACGTGGTTCCCACAGGTTTTACTTTTTACCTTTCTCCTCCATGATAGCCCATAGATTACATTCCTGAAGCCAGCCACCCGAAGTTTGTTCCCTTATTTGGCCACTTTCTCCTCCTGAGCCTGACCACCAAGGTCCAGCTATCAAAGTGTTGAAGTCTAGCAATCAAAAGCCCCTCTTTGTCTCTATTAGTTAGAGAATTATTAAATTCTTAAAACCCTAATATGCCCAATTAATTAAAACAAGCCAACTCCTCCTAACACAGGGTCCCCTTTCCCTTTATAAGCAGTCATTGCTTATGCGCCATGTCTGTCTCCTCTCTATTCAGAGGCCTTCCTTTGTCTCTCCAGGACAAATATCTCCCCCACCCCTTTGCCCCTTTTCTCTTCTCCCTCCTCCTCTACTACTGTCTTTGTCTCTTATTCCTTGCCCTGGGGCAAATAATTCCCCTTTGTGCTGAGAACTTGTTCCTGGTGGGTTATGTGGCAACTCTGGTCCTTTTATCTACAGCCTCTCACAGGGGTGGGGCCTTGTGAGACTCTTGTGCAGGCAGCACAGATGCTGTGAGTTCCTGGTACAGCAGCCAAGTCACATCCAGAAGACAGCATTTCACGGCATCCTTCCCATCTTCTGGCTTTTACTCTTTTTGTCCCCTCTTCTGTGATGTTCCTTATACCTGCTGTTATGAACCACCTTACATGTGTACAGCATATTATACAAGCCAACTCAGGGTACCTTGACAATAATTCACTATTTCCCCTCTCTATATTTCAGCTTTCCCAGGATTCAAATAGGTACAATAACTGTCTCTCCTACTGTCATTGCTGAATAGCAAACAAAAATATAAAAATGTTAACAAAGTGCGTAAACATCAGTATGAAGTAGCTTTTGCTTTTATTTCACAGCTGAGACTCTGAGAAGCCAGTAAGATATACCAGGTTATCTCACTGCTAAACAACCAACCTGGGATTTAACATCCAGCCTTGTGCCTTTTCAGTCACTACATTTGTCTTTCAGAAATTTATTTTCCCCAAATGAATTACGATCTAATGTTATCAGTGTCCTACCACAGAGAAATAAAAGCTCAATGGTGTTAACACACAGGAGCAATAAATATCCAAACTAACCATCATCATTTTTCCATCTCAACAGCATGGGCTACTGGCAAGGGGGTAGGAGGAGTGTCACTTGCCTAAGGCCCAGAGTTTGATCCTGAAGAGTGACTCATGGAGAGTGAATTTGGGAGGATGCCCAGAACTGGAAGGTGCTGAAGGTCTTCCTCATCACTCTATTCACAAGCCTCAACTTGGACAACTGAATCCTGCTTGGCAACGTGCCTGACTAGGGAGCCTGCAGGGATACCCACCCACACAACAATGACATCCTAGATAAAACAGACTTTCAGAATGGACTCACTGCAATGATGGAAATCCCTCGGCAAACACAAAGTCAGCTGAAGTCAGAAGAACAAACAAAGGTGAGGCCACCCACCCCAAAGGCAAACATCGGGTATGATATGGCAAACTGGAGATGAGTCTGAGACTCTCCTGAAAACTAGAGGGATTCCAAGTCTGAGACACAGTTCATCTCCACCCACCCCCACCCTTAGTAAATAGCATACCTCTCTAGAGGGAAAAATTCCCCACATTAGGACTCTAAGGTAGTTAATGATGAGCAACTATTGTGAGTTCACCACCATAGATCCACAAATTCACACACACACACACACACACACACACACACACACACACACACACACACACACACACACCACATCATGATCATCAGAAGCAACAGAGTTAGAGCATGAGGATTTTAGGTACTAAGCTTATCAACCACAGAATTAAAAACAAAACCAAACAAAAACTACACATGAAGGGTTTAGAGAAATAACTCGTAGAACCACAAAATAAGTTGTCGATTCTAAACCAGGAAAAGGTGGCATGTGTACATTTGCCATCCTAGCGTTCAAGAGGATGACAAGTTTAAGGTAGGTCTAAGTTAAGGTTACACTAAGGTCATAAGGTTAAGGTCACACTAAAGTCTTAAGTCTAAGGTCACACTAAGGTCATAAGTTTAAGTGTTTTTTTGAGGCTAGCCTGGGTTTCATTCAATTCAGTTTCAAAATCAAACAACAAAAACAAACAAACCAGGGGCTGCAGAGCTATCTCAGGCAATAAAGTTGGAGCCCCAGAACCCACTTAACATGGGCTTGTGATACCAGCAAGCTATTTTGTAATACTATAGTGCACACTCAGATCCAGGTTGTTAGAGCCTGAACAGGGCATAATGTCTCCTCATCTACAGTGAAATTCTACTCCACCATATTTTATAATATGACACTGTTTGAAGACGTGGTCTTTAAGGAGGTAATGAAGTTGGTCCTGATTCTTGAAAGAGGAGATGAAATGTACACAGATGGAAGACATGTTAATACAGACAGAGGAGAGCCATACAAGCAGAAATCAGTCTTGCCAACATCTTGATCTAGGTTTCAAGCCTTTAGAATCAAAATATAAATATCTGTTGTTTAAACTATCCAGTTTGGTGCACAGTCTGTAAAGCATTCGTTACACAAGGATGAAGACCCTCTTCAATCTCCAGAATCCATGTAAAAAGCTGGGCCTGACAGTCTACACATGTAATGTCATTGCTGGAGAGGCGAAGACAGGGGGATCCCTAGAGGTCTCTAGCCAGCCAGCCAAGCCGGGCCCCCAAAGAGTGACCCTCTCTCAAAAACTAGATGGATGGCCATCTGAAAAACAATACCCGAGATTGACCTCCAGCCTCCACATGTATGAACACACGCAAACATAAATAAAGATAAATAGAGCCCCACTTAACCTAGCAGTGTCATTGCACCTTGAGAACACCGACTTCACCTATAGAACACCTGTGGGAGTTTTGCTTCGCTTGTCTTCCCCTTGAAAATGAACTTATACAGGTGCAGTTTTAAGCACCCATCCTCCTGGCCATGGCAGCAGGGAACCTCTGAAGATAGTCCAGTTTTCTAAGGTGCTGCTTGCAAGACAGTTTATGCCAGTCGCCTGCAAAGGAAGCCAAAGACTCCTATGTCAGTGGCTCTTATTTCTCCCGAGATGATGTTTAAAACAGGAAAAGCCATTTGCAAGCACAGTATTTATGTCACTGTCCAAGCTCTTTTGTCCTAAAGATTGTTTTAAAGACATCAGAAAAGCAGCAACCCACACTCCAGCTGGTAAAACATAAATAACGAAAGCCAGTGTCAGAACTGGCAGCCAGGCCTGAGATAGGGAACCCTGCATCGGCAAGGCAGAAACAGTGTGGCCAAGTAATGGCTGCAGTCAGAAAGCTGAGCTGCAACCCTCATTCAGCTGTTGTATCATTTGCACAAATGCTGAATACAGCTAACAAAAACATGCCTCATGAAGTGACTGTGGCTGTAAATGGGGCATGGAGTGCTACTGTGCCAACTTTTAATTCCAGAGCCTGAAGTCATCTATTTCTATTACAGGCAGGATGAGAACATGAATGGTTAGTTTTTTCCTCTGCATTGGAGGCCAGGGTGGTGCACTGGTTAAGGCCATGGGCTCTGGGATTCATCTTCCTGCTGTCCACTTCCTAGTTAACTCCTAATGCTTCATTTTAGATTCTTCATCTGTGAAATGGGGATAACAAGAAAAATATAACCCACCTCATAGAGTTACTATGAGAATTAAATTAGTCACTGTATGAAAAAATGCACAGATCAGTACTTGAGGCTAGCACATAAGAAGTAGATATTAGTCATGCTTCTCTTCATGGATGGCATATTTTAGATTTCTGGTTGGTCAACAGAGAACAGTGAGTGTTTTCAGACACTGGTATGCTAGAGCTGCAAGGCCCTCAGGACACATTTCTAGATCAACCCTCTCTCACACTTAAATGATCACTGGGGAGACCAGACCTGGCTAACCAGCCTGACCAAGATTAAAACCTAGGCCTAATAATTCCAGTATAGTGCACACTCCACACTGCTGTGTTTGCTCTTCACAAAGGAAACTGCTGGGGGAGAGTAGGAAGGGTCACTCAGTCCTTCCTCTCTGCACACAGTCAAGGTATCTTCTGGAAGGAGCTGGAGCTATTTATACTTTCTGGAACAGACAAGACTTGTCCAAAACCTCAGGAACTCCTGCCTCGGGTAGCACTTTTTTTCTTTTTTGGGGTGGGGTGAGTATGATATACACTTATGTCCACAGAATCTATATGTAAGCAATACATAGAACAGTCTGTTTTACAAAAGGATTATGAGTATTTGAAACATTTTGACCTGCTAGGACTCACTGTGCAGTTTGTCACTTCCTTCATAGGTAGAAATGCACACATCACCTTAGAAAAGCCTTTACCACCTTCCTAACTCAAGTAAATGGCAGCTCCTTGCCCTCCTCAGCTTTTTTACTTCCTACTCTACCACAATATTATACCACAGAAGCTGAAATTCTCTTATTAACCTGACATGAATCTATCCTATTCTCACTCTCTTTGTGAGAATATACACCCAATGAAAGCAAGAACTCTGTCTATTCTCTTCATTGCCATGTCTCTAGTACCCAAGGCAATGGCCAAAATATGACTGACGATCAAAAATCAATACTAACATAGGTGATTCAGGTCCACTGAATTTTCACTCAATCTCACTGCCCAGCAAGGAATGCAAAAATGAGGAGCATTAGAAACAAACAACAGCCCGGCTTGGTGGTGGTGCACACCTTTAATCCCAGCACTCTGGAGGCAGAGGCAGGCAGATCTCTGAGTTTGAGGCCAACCAGGTCAACCTCCAGGATGGCCAAGGCTACACAGAAAGACCTGTCTTCTTGAAAAACCAAATACAAAACAAAACAAAAAAAACCAGAAACAACAACTGGGTGGTGGTAGCACAAGCCTTTAATCCCAGCACTCAGGAGACAAAGCAGGCAGATCTCTGTGAGTTTGAGGCCAGCCTGGTCTACAGAGCAAGTTCCAGGACAGCCAAGACTACACAGAGAAACCCTTTCTCCAAAACCCAAAACCAAACTAAAACAAACAAACAGGGACTGGAGAGATGGCTCAATGGTTAAGAGAACTGCTGCTCTGCCAGAGTTCAGTTCGCAGCACCCATGTCAGGCAGCTCACAAGTCCTCCGGTACCTGGGGAACTAACACCCTCTTCTGGCCTACTTGGGCTATACGTTGCACTACACACAGAAAATAAATCTTTTAAAATTAAAAACAGCATGATTGGGCCTGAAGATGGCTCAGTGGATAAGAATAATTGTGAGGACAAGAAAGCCTGAGTTCAAATCCTAAGTAACCATATAGAAGTCTGGCATGGCAACTCATGCATGTAACTCCAAACATTGGGGATAGGATCCCAGATCACTGGCCAGTCACTCTAGCCTCAATGGTGAGCTCAAGTTCAATGAGAAACCCTGTCTCGTAAGACGGAGAACAAGAAGAAGAGAAAAACACTCAGCATCCTCTTCTGGCCTAGTCATGTGTGCCATGCACCAGCATACACGTGGACAGATAGCACACTTAACACATACACACATACATAAGCACACACACCACCACCACCACCACCCACAGCAGGAGGAACCCATACAATAAGGTCAATACACAAAAATAATCAAAGCAGGGCTGGGAACCATTTACAATTCACCCAGTTAGTGCAACTGAGCAACACCAAAGACGACGGTTGGTGAGTTAGCAGAAGACCTAGCCTTCATTTGGCTTTTTCTTCTGCATCTCCTGGGTAATCCGGAGTCTTGGTGGGGATGGTGAGGAATCTTCAGACCCAAGCGGCTATCTCTGATACGCAGGTCACAAGCGACCCTATTTCTTCTGGCGGAAAGGTGACGGTTCCTAAAGCACCCAACACTACACACGTTGAAATCAACCTAGTCCTAATTTAAGGGCCTTGTCTTTTCAAACCCAAGAATTAAGAGCGCCCTCAAGTACAACTTCCCTGTCTTAAATCCTCTCCCGACATGGTACTCCTTACCCCACGAAATCTCCCGGAGCAGTTGAGTAAGATAAAAAGGAATCTGCTGTGGCCTAAGATACAGTGAGAGAAGAAAAGTGTTATGACAAGAAGAGGGATCGGGGTCGATAAAGAATACGATAAGAACCAGGTCTGACCCTTTCCCAGTCCAGTGCGTCCGGCTGAGGAAGTGATGAGGAGCAGGAAACAGAAGCACAGCAAACAGGTGGCCCCGAAACGAAGCGACATCTCCACGGCGGTAGTTGCACAGGGCCACTGGACTGAGGAAACTCGGGATTACCAGTCGAGGGTCTGCTCCGCTCTCCAGGCGCCGCTCAGCCCAACCCCTCGGATTCCTAGATTTCTTTTCTTTTTTTCCCCCAAACACTGAAGGAAGTGATGTTAGACGGATGTGGGCGGTGCCTCTGGGGTCCGCTTTGGAAAGGAGTAAGTTTAAAGGTGCAGATCACGTAGAAAGATGGGGGAATACAAGTCCAGTTTCCTTTCCCTAAATCCTGGATGTCTAAGTCTAGAGGCACAGTTCGATAAGGTGGACCGAGATGGTGGGTGCTGGGGAGAGGTTCGGGAAAACCGTTGTTAATAGTGTCTGACCTCCAGTCTAGCCCCTCCCTCCCCAGGACCACTGCACCAAATATTCAAAATGCAAATATGGGTGAGATCAGCTTCTCTCAACAGAAGACAGGTCACTCATTGGCTTGCAATTTCCCGTCCCCCTGTACAAATTTTAAAAACTGGACAGCAGCATTTCACTGTTAGATTTCTCCTTGGGATTCCGAAGAGACCCAGTAAGCCCATTTTGCTGTGCACGCGTCTGTCTTGCAGGAGTGCACTTTGGAGAAGCTCTGGACCTTTTTCTTCGCCTTGCATCCGCACTCAGTCTTCCACTCAGACATGATGCAACCAACAGACGCAAGAAAACCATGTTTGGGGCTTCTTATTGCACAACTGACGGGATTGGCCGAAGGAACCGGGACATAAGTCACTACAACCACTCAAAGTGTAAAGCTGCTTTCCGTTAAATCTGTTGGGTTTCTGTCTTGGGTCGAGTATGTCTTTCCCTTCTACTACCTAACAAGTCAACCTTCCCCGACCTTCCCTCCGGGTACACTAGTAGAGTCCGTCAGAGTTTAATGTCCAGTGAACGACATCCAAACAAAGTATACACGCAAACTAAATCCCAGGCCGCCCTTCGGTTAGGTCCAAGACAAAAGGTGAGCGGAGACACAATGGGACGCCGAGGGGACCGCGGCGCCTCCAGGATGTAGCGCGGTCCCCGCACCCGCGGCCAATTAGAATATTGGGGTGCGCGAGGCAGGCTGGGCTTTGTAGTTGGGAGGCGCGCGGACGCCGTAACCCCCCGCCTCCCGCGGGCGAGGCGGGGCCGTGCGTCACGTGGGCCGCTCCCGCCGCCGCCACCGCGGTCTTTCTCTGTCTCAGCTGAGGCAGCCATCTTGCTCTTGCCGCGTGCTGGTGTTGGAGGACCCTCCCCGCTGCAGGTGAGACCCCCGGCGGGCCCGCCACCCCACGGCCTCCGGCCGCTGCGCACGGTCTCCCCCCGCCCTCCCCTCCCGACACCCGCCGTCCGCTCGGGCTGCCACTTCCGCCGTGGCGCGGCGAGTGGGGGCGGAGGCGGCCGGCCCGGCCTGTCGGTTACGGGCGGCGCAGCTGGGGGTCGGCACCTGAGGGAAGGTCCCCAGCACCATCGCCCGCTGTGGAGGAACCGGGCCCGGCCTCTGGCCTCGCAGATCCAGTCCCAGGAGGGTAGACCCCTCCACGTCCCACCACTCATTATTCACAACAACAATGTCAGACGCTTTGAGCGTTGTACAGCTTATCTGTTGTCATCTCATTTGCTCCTCCCAGTCTACGGCTAGGGAAACTGAGGTTAGCACCCGGCCCCCAGCCTCTTGGGCACGAACTTGGTTCCAACGCTCTTCACTTTTTAATGGCAGTGTTTGTTGACAAGTCTACCTTGGTTTTGAGACAGCGGGTCCTTATACCCTCATCCCACTGATGACTGATCGCCAGGCACAGTGTTACACAGTTGGTGAATGGCGGTTTCAACTTCCGTTCCCACGTTCTTTCATTATACCATTAGTGGTCCTCTGGAAGAGTGGTAACAATAGTTACCAACTATTAAGTTGCTTTAACTTGATAATCTAAGCTTTAGCCTTCAACCCAGTAAAGTATGTGGTGGTATACTTTTCTTAATGCAGGAGAAACAAATGAGTTCAAAGAAGTTAAATGCCTTTCCAAAGCCCTAAGAGGTAAAACCTTGGGCTTTCTGAATGATTCCACAGCTTTTGCTACTATTAGAGAACCTCACATTTTTTTAAATTCAGGGCCGAAAGTTCAAATTATTTTTATCTTTGTGTAAACACGATGTATGTGTACGTACCTGAACTTGGGCATTCAGTAAATATTGATTCATCTCATTATACTCTTTCGGAAGTTCTTGAGAAAAGTGCAAAGAAGATTCTTGGAGACTCAACTCTGATCATGCGGCCCTGGGAAGTCGCTTCTCCCTTTGGGGCACAAAAAGGAACTTTCCAGGCCTTCGTTTTCGGTTAAACTAGAAAGAAGGCTGTTTTGTTTATAATTTATGCCCTGCTGCATATCTGAGATGATATCACACACAAAAAAGAATGACAGGTACAGATATCGAGGAGAGATTAAACTGAATCTAAATGTCTTTCCTACTTGAATCCTACACAGCCCAACAGATGAGAGACAAAAGGCCACATTTCTCCCTCCCCTCCTGCTTTAAGCTCCCAAGCTCCCTAAAGTTTCCCTCTTTTCCCCGAGGTACTCCTTAGGATAAGATTTCTTAATTCTATTACCCTGGCCACCTGGAATAGAATCATTCTTTACAACATAAGAAAGAATTTTGTTTTTGCTTTTGCTTCAAACAAGTCTGAACTCTTTGTCTTGTCTCTCCAACCTTCATTTCTCTTCTTTGGGATTATTACTCAAAATGCAGAATAGTCCCCAAAGGGCTTGTCCTGTGTTTAGTTCTAATATTTTCTCTTTTGACTTCCTTTTTGCAAGAAATGTAAATGCTTTTTTGTTTCACTATACCTTCATGGCTGTAGTCCTTTGAAGAAAATGAACATTAGTTCTTTTGTGAATATTTGAATACAAGATTAAGGTTTATGGCAGCAAATTTAAGTCTATGGCACAGCTAAGATTGGCACACATCTAAGACTTTGGATTCTACACAGAGCTCCTCCTGTACAAGAGTTGTAGCTGCTTGACCATCGTGATAGAATGTTGAACAAAGTGAGAAGCCATGGGTTCTAATTTTTATTTGGGAAATGGATTCAGCCTTACAGCAGTGATATATACAGGTCAGTTCCCTAAGTCCAATGCCAGTTCAGAATGGTTAGTAATTTACGTGCTTTGGTTCTTCCTTTTTTTTTTTTTTTTCCTTTTCAAATGTAAAAAATGGCACCCTTCTCATTTGTTAAAAAAGAAAGTTTAATAATAGCCTATTCCCTTATTCCCTCCTTCACATCTCAGTAAAGATCTGATAAGCCACAGATCAAGTCAAACAAGACTGTTGGATTAGCTTTTATTTGTTTCTAGAGCATGAAATGTTGTTCTCCTTAGGAGTATCACTGACTAGACTAGAATTTATGATTTTATAATTTCCTTAGAATCTTCAAAAGTCAAAATTCGCTAGAAAAGTTTTTTTTCTTCTCCCACCAACTTAATGTAGCCAAGATACATCTTTGTCAAATTGTGCAGTGAAACATTTTACCCTATATGCAATAACACCTTGTTAAGTGTGACATACTCTACCAGTGCAAGGTCTAGAATAAACTAGTGCGGCTGAATCAGCCAGTGTTAGGAAATCTGGTAGTTTCCCATTATTAACACATCTGACCTTGAATAGAGGACGTGACTTGCTTGTATTTTGACAGCCCATTGTTCAAGTTCTTCTTTGCCTAGCCTTTTTTCTTTGTGTTGTATTTATCCTTTATAAGACATGCAGAGTGTGATTCCAGGGAAAACAATCTCCTTGAAGGTTTTGCTAATACCATTTGGGGTAACTGTTCTCTGCTTTGAAAATCTTTGGAAGAAAAAGCCTGCTTGCCTACAGAGATTTCGTAATTGGCTAGGTTTTTCTGAATGCCAGAGAACTGAGTCATATTTTAAGAAAGGCTCTTTAAATAGGTGACTTTGAATCCCATTCATTTGTTATTTGTATATTTGACTCCCGTGTGGTATTTCATTTTTTTAAAAATTGGTTTGTGAAACTAGAACAGGTTATCACTATTAACGAATATAAATAGTAGTGATAAGATCATGATGTTAGTGCATACAACAAGCTCAGTGAAACAAAAGGTATTGTTTGTATAAATAAGTTTTTAACTTTGGTAAAGCAGCAAATTTAACAAATCTATTTTCCCCCCTAGATTTACCAACAGCATGAATCAAGAAAAGTTAGCCAAACTTCAAGCTCAGGTCCGGATAGGGGGCAAGGTGAGTGTGGTGTAAGACAAACTGGCAGGAGAAGGTATGATTGTCACGTAGTATTACTACTTTGTATTTGTGGTCACTGAGTCCAAAATCTTTTCATGATTAAAATCAGACCACATTCTTGTTTGATAACAATTTGTCTAGACTAAAACAGGTAACTGAAGGCTTTCTCTCTGATGACCCCTCCCCCACTTTAATTTTGGTCTGTGTATGGGTGTATGTATACACATGTACAAGTGCACATTCGTGTGGAGGCCTCAGGACAATGTGGGGACAGGTCGTCCTCATTTGTTCTCCCCCTTATATGTCAAGGCAGAATCTCTTGCCAGCTGCTTCCACGAGTTCCCTGTTTCCACCTCCCACACACAGGGATTACAGGGGCCACCACACCCACCTGGCTTTTATGTGGGTTCTGGGGATCCCGACTGGTCCTCATGCTTGCACTTAACCATTGAGCCAACTCCTCAGTCCCTGAATCTCAGCATTCAATATCTGCTTATGTGACATGAATAAGTTACCAATTTCATTATTTTCATCTGCGAATTAGTAAATTTATAAAAATTAGTAATTTATAAAAAGTGCTTCTAAAGCATTGGCCAGGTGGTGGCACACGCCTTTTATCCCAGCACTTGTGAGGCAGAGGCAGGCAGATCTCTGAGTTCGAAGCCAGCCTAGCCTACAGAGAGTTCCAGGACAGCCTCGATACACAGAAAAACCCTGTCTTGAAAAACTAAAAACAAGGGGAAGAAAGAAAAAAATCAGAGAATTGTTTATAAACACTTAGCATGGTGTCTGATACAAGGTGAATGGTAAATAAATGGTAGCTACTATACCTCTCTTGTAGGGAATGATGGATGTTAGGTGTACCTTATCTTAATTAAACGTAGCTACCATTCGGTTAGGAGCACAAGTGGTTAACTGGGAATGTCTGAAGTGAATATACATTTTGTGGATTGTCAGGTTTTCCTCCCAGATGCCTAATATTTTTTTCCACACTGTGGAGCATGAGCATAAGTTTCTATATTCCACATACTTTAAAGCCTCAGGAAGTTGTGAGCACCAAAACCTTGATTTTCCCTTCAGTTGTCGCCTGAGACTCAAGGAGAATACTGTACCCTCATCTTTGTCCAGTACAATGTTTGCAAAAGAGAAAAAAAAGACCAATATTTACTTTGTATGTAGATCACTGTGGAGAAAGGGCAGATAGGACGCTGTGTAACAGTTGTTACCATGCTTTACATTGATCTCCCGCTCTTGGGGGTGGAGACAGCAGAGGGAGAAGAGAAAAAGTGGCTAGTACTTTTCTCTGATGGTGACAAAAGTAGATGATGTGGAGTCATAGTAACACACATATTAGCCACAATGGTCACACAATGCAAAACTAGAGGTTTGTAACAACTAGATTTACCTAGAAAGGCCTGATGCCCCCATCATAATTACATGTGTATATTTATTTATTTAGTGAGTGGTTTATGCATGTGTATATGTTTACAGACATGCATATGTAGGGCCTGGAAGCAAGCATTATATATCTTCTGTTCCTCACTACCATATTTTTTATAGCTATTTTGTGTATGGACACACATGTATGCACATGCAGACATGCATGCCTGCAAATATGTACTACACTACACTACATTGCAGATCTGAGGACAACTGCAGGAGTCAGATCTCCTACTATGTGGGTTCTGGGGATTGAACTGAGGTTATTAGTTTTGGTTGTAAGCACCTTAAGATAGAGTCATCTCACCAACCCCACCCAATTGTTTTCAATGGTTTCTCACTGAACCTGAAGCTTGCTGATTGAGCTAGATTGGCTGACCAGTGAGCCTCCAGAATCATCCTGTTTCTATCTTCCAGGGGTTACAGGTGTGCACTGCCATCCCCAGTTTTTATTTTGGTTGTCCATACACAGTTCCTTATGCTTGACCTATGGAATCATATCCCCAGCCCCATAATTATGTCTTTTTAATGTAGTGGTTGATACATATATTAATTTGTCTACTGTTAACTGAATACTTAATTTGTACCAGGCATAGTAAATAAACAAGATTCCTTGCTTTTGACAACATGAAGTGAAACATGGAAGAAAGCCATGCTCATAATTACAATGAAGATTAGCAATCACAAAGTATTTTACTTAGGAGAGTCATGGTGGGATTTAAAGAAAAATAAGAATTTATCACTTATTATCAATAGGTGAAAGAATTAGTGGGGGTTAGACTAAAATGGAGATTGTTATTTACCTATGTGCAAAGGCCCCCAGGGTGCTGGAAAAAAAATGGAGCTTAATAATGACTGACTTTAGTTTGGGACAGCTAGTTTAGAGTATACAATGAACAAAAAATGGTAGGGGTGAGATGACCAAGTAGTTTGTGCTCCATATACTTTTTATATGCCTTTCTAAAGAGCTCAGGATTTTAGTCATCCACATTGGACAACTACTGAAGGATTTTAAGAAGGCAGTGACCAGGTATGATGGCACAGGACTTTAATTCCAAAATCTGGGAGGCAGAACCTGATGGATCTCTGTGAGTTCGAGACCAACCTGGTGTAGTTCCAGGACAACCAGAACTACATAGTGAGACTCTGTCCCCAACAAAAAGTCAGAAGGTGATGGTGGACACCTTTAATACCAGCACTCAGGAGGCAGAGGCAGGTGGATCTCTGAATTCCAGGCCAGCCTGGTCTACAGGACAGCCAGGGCTATGCAGTGAAGCCCTCTTTGAAAACAAAAACCAGAATGCAACGAAAAAAGGAGGAAATGATGGCCATTTTAGAACTGGTGGCAGTGTGAAAAATGGGATCAAATGGAAAATAATCTAGAAGCTATTGTTGTATAATGTGGGACACAAATTTAGAGGTTGGACTGACATGATTTAATGACAAATGGGATGAAGAGCAGAGAGAAGAATTGAGGGTCTTTCCCAGGCTTTGATTTTAGAATGTGGGACTGTGGTTTTTACCAACTATAGAATCTAGGAGATGAAGGAAGATTAGTGGACTGATAAGTCTGTAGACATGTTGATTTTTTTTTTTTTTTTGAGACAGAGACTCACTCTGAAGTCCATGCTGCTCAGGAATTTGATATAGATTAGACTGGCCTCAAACTTTTAAGCAATCCTCCTGCCTCTCTGCCTTTTTTCATGCTGGGATTACAGATGTGTATAAACTACTTACATAGTAGCTTAGTCAAGTACTTGAAGACCCTTTCAATAGAGTAGCTCTGCCTAGTGGCACACTCTGTAATCATAGCACAGGGGAGGCTGAAGCAGGATTGCCTCACTAAATAGCAAGACCCTATACAAAAATACAGACCAAGCAACTAAGCTATCCCTGAGTTAGGAATGCTTCACAAATAAATGACCATCTATGTAAAGTGTTCTGTTAGCAACTAGATGTCCTCATAACCTTTGCAACTGAGCATTTTCTCTCACTGGGATTGCTGAGACAGAAACACTAGTCTTTCTTCAGTAAGACTGAGTTCCTGAGGACTGCTTCTGGAGCTGCTAGGAGGCTAAAGACCTCATTTGTCTATCTCTCCTTATTTCAGTAAGAACTAACCTCAGAATGTATGCTTTTGTTAGTATTTCAGCTCTGATATCAAATTTTATTTGTGTATATGTCTCTGTGTCTGCTGATGTCGTCACTAGGAGCCAGAAGAAGGCATTGAATCCCCTGAAGCTGGAGTTATAGGCAGTTGTCTGCTATGGGTGCTAGGATTTGAACTAGCATCCTCTAGAAGAGCAACAAGTGAGCTTAACTACTGAGCCATGTCTCCACCCCTGTATTTCTAATTATCAATACAGAACTGAGTTTTTTCTGACATAGCAAATAGTATTATTTTTACCTTCAGGCCACAATTCTAAGACTTATTGCCATACCCCACATCTAACCCATCAGAAGTCACTTTGTTTCTTGTGACAGTCTGCCCTGAGGCCATCCCTCATCTCTCACCATACTTGTGCCCCAACCCCTTTATTGGTCTCATAGCTTCTAGGTCTAGTTTCCCTGAAGCTACCTTAGATGGGAATAAACAAGTCAGATGAGGTCTCTTAATAGCTTCCTATTGCAATTAGAATAAAATTGAGCACCTGCCCATAAGATTCTAGTCTACATGGTGAGGCCCTTGTATATCTGTCTGTCTGTCTGTCTTCCTCCCTCATTGTTCACTCTGCTCTAGCCACACTGGCCCTGCCTCTCTGTCTAGAAGACAAGTTCAGTCTTGTTTCATTCTGCTTGGATCACTCCTCCCTGGTTGTGGGTCTCATTTCTAATAAAATTGTGCATTGCTCTTTTACCATTCTAGTCTTGTGGGTTTTTGTTGTTGTTGTTTGTTTTTTCATACTCTTATCCTGTTTGAAGTAAGTAAAATCTCGGTTTTTGTTTTTGTTTTTTTTTCTTCCTGGGTTCTCAGACTCACTAGTATACACATAGTAGGGATTTGATTCTCAATATATAATAGGTCCAAAGATTTGGATCATATCTAGACTTTATTGGCAGGGGCTAACAGGGATTCTATGAAAGCATACAATGCTTGAAAATTGTTATAAAGCACACTGGACGGTCTTAAGAGTTATGAATTGAAGCCGGGCGTTGGTGGCGCACACCTTTAATCCCAGCACTCGGGAGGCAGAGGCAGGCAGATCTCTGTGAGTTCGAGGCCAGCCTGGTCTACAAAGTGAGTTCCAGGACAGCCTCCAAAGCTACAGAGAAACCCTGTCTCGAAAAACCAAAAAAAAAAAAAAAAAAAGAGTTATGAATTGTGTTCTATTAACAATATTTTGAAACATAATATATTGAAATGGTAAAGTAAGAGTAAGAACTGACTACAACTGCCATTCAGGTGTTGACTGAACATCACAACTCCATGGTCTTGTTAGTCACTGCTGTTTGGTTAGTTTTTCCAATGTGGATTTTAGATTGTGGCCAGGAGGATGTGATTGCTGTTGCCAATCACTATGCATATTGACACCTCTGTCTAATTATTTTCCAGGGCACAGCTCGCAGAAAGAAGAAGGTGGTACATAGGACAGCTACTGCTGATGACAAAAAGCTTCAGAGTTCTTTAAAGAAACTGGCTGTGAACAATATAGCTGGTATTGAAGAGGTACGAACACTTTGAAAGCTCAAAGTATAGAGAAATAAAATGGCACATGCACAGTTCTTTTGACTTTTCAAATTAAAACACTAGCTTAGAAGAATCTTTACTATTTCATGCACATGTGTTTGACAGAGTGTAGTGGTTAAATTTGCTTTGGGGAATGAAATGGTTTTAGTGCTCTTGAACTTTAAAATAAGATTTCTTTTTCTGCTTTATTTATTTATTTTTCTGTGGGTCACTCTGTATCCTGGACTGGCCTCTTTTGTGATCTTGTCTCCTTAGTATTGGCATTTAACAGTATGTGCCCCGATGTTTAGTAAGTTATTTTTCTAATGATGTAGAAGTAAAACCCAATGTTTTTTCAAATGAGATTTTTTTTTTTTGGTTTTTCGAGACAAGGTTTCTCTGTATTGCTTTGGAACCTGTCCTGGAACTCACTCTGTAGACCAGGCTGGCCTTGAACTCACAGAGATCCACCTGCCTCTGCCTCCTGAGTGCTGGGATTAAAGGTTTGCGCCACCAATGCCTGGCTCAAGTGAGACTCTTACTTGTACCCTGAATTCTCTTTTCTGTACTACAAAGTCTCTATTACATCTTCCACAAACTTCTAGCAGTAGCTTTATACTGATTTGATTCCCTCCCTTATTTTTATTTTTTATTTATTTTGGTATATTTGATGTGTAGTACTGGCTGTCTTGGGACTTACTTTATAGACCAGATTGGTCTTGAAATCAGAGATCCTCCTGCCTCTGCCTCCCAAGTGATGGGATTAAGGGTGTGTCACTATGTCTGGCTTATTATTTTTTTAAGTATTGTCTCACTAGATAGCTGCCTCTACCACCATAGTGCTATGATTATACTCAGCTGATTGGATTTATTAGGGATCTTTCAAAAATGATAAACTTTTAAAAGTCTATTATATTATTATTTTTTCATTGCTGTGACAAAAGTATCTTGAAGGAAGGGTTTCTTTTGACTCCCAGTCTGAGAGTATAGTTCATCATGATGGTGAAGCATCATCCTCTCATTATCTGCCTTATTCCTTTTAGGCAGGATATCTCAATGAACCTGGAGCTAGGCTAGCAGCCAGCAAGCCCCAGCAATCCGCCTGTCTCCCTCTTTTCACTAAGTTAGGGTTACAGTCACCAGTAGTCACTCCAAGCCTTTTATTTTATTTTATTTATTTATTTATTATGTATACAGTCTTCTGTCTGCATGCCAGCAGATCTCATTCAAGGTGGTTGTGAGCCACCGTGTGGTTGTCGGGAATTGAACTCAGGTCTTCTGGAAGAACAGTCAGTGCTCTTAACCTCTGAGCCATCTCTCCAGGCCCCACTCACAGCTTTTTAATATTGGTTTTGGGGATGTGAACTCAGATCTTCATGCTTGCATAGCAAGTGATCTTACCTAACCGTGTGTGTGTGTGTGTGTGTGTGTGTGTGTGTGTGTGTGTGTGTGTGTGTGACACACGAGTCCAAGTCCAAGCTCAAGCTCGCATGTACCATACATATTGCTAGGAACCAAACACAGGACTTCATGCATGCTAGCTAAGTTTTCTATCACTGAATTACTCTTAGCTGTTACATACTTTTATTGTAATGCCTATTAAACTGTGTTGTTAATTCCTTTGTTGATATTGTCACTCCATTTTTTTTTTTTTGCTGTTTTTTTTTGTTTGTTTGTTTTTTGTTTTTCGAGACAGGGTTTCTCTGTATTGTTTTGGAGGCTGTGCTGGAACTCGCTCTGTAGACCAGGCTGGCCTCAAACTCACAGTTTGAGAGCCTCTGCCTCCCGAGTGCTGGAATTAAAGGCGTGTGCTACGAACGCCCGGCTCCATTTTTTTTTTTAATACAGGGTCTTGCTATGTAGACCCGGTTGTCCCCAAATCACAATCTTCCTGTCTAGCTTCCCAAGTGTTGAATTGAGATTAAAACCACTCTAACTTAGTCCTAATTTTTTGAGGAATCAGCCCCTAGAACTACACAGAGAATTAGTGATGCCTATTATAATAGACACATGCATACCCTCACCACTTCCTGTCCATTTCAAGCATATTATCTTCCAGTCTTTACAGGCTATGAGTATAGGAAAATATACATGAAATAATTAATGATACAAAGTAGCAACTGTAAGGTTTTCAGTTATTTGAACCAACAAGATGAAAAGTTCTACTTTTTTTTGTCTTCAGTTAATCTTTTCAGTAGCAAGACATTTGCTTATATACCTTTTGCAGCTTTAAACTATTTGTTTAGCTGCATGTATAGCTTCTTGTGAGGGGAAAAAAGAAGTTCTACAGCATTACATGCATGTATGAAAACATGTAATGGGCCAGTTGTGGTGGCTCTTGCCTTTAGTTCAGGCATACACAAGGCAGAGGTAGGTGGGTTTTGCGAGTCTGAGGCCAGCCTGGTATACATAGTGAGTTCTAGGCTTGCCAAGGAAGGCTACATAGTGACACCCTGACTTGAACAAAGCAAATCATATAATGATTTTCAGAAACACTGTGACTGGAGAGTCTAGATATGTCTTAGAATAAGAGAAAGCCATTAAATACAAGTTTGAGACCAGCAGGATGGCTGCCCTTTGTCTTTGTATATAAACACATATAAAATGTGTACAGCTTGCTTTGTGAATTCCCCTGCCTTAAAGAGCAGGAGAACTGATCTTGTTTAGCCCTGTAATTCATCCTTTGGTTGTTTCTCACAGCTTTTGCTTAGGAGATTTACATAACTGCCATTTGTTTAGTAGGAGGGAAGGAAAACACACCAGAAATTAAATATTCTGGCCTTTTTAATTTCTAGTATTGCATTCTCTGTGTTCTAAGATTAACTTTCTGCTCTTCTAGGTCTTTCTATTCATGTAGCTGCATCCTTTATACCACCCCATTTAAAACCATCATGAATAAATTTGCCCTCAGTCTGAAATGGAGTTCATCTTACTTGTCACACTCAAGTGAGAAAAACAGCATTTTACACTGAAAAGACATGTAGGACTCAACTTCCAGCCTCTGGAAGAGAAGCCCAAACTATTTTTGATCCTGTGTTGGTCTCTTTAGCCAGTGAGATACACACACACACACAAACCACACTCTCTCTCTCTCTCTCTCTCTCTCTCTCTCTCTCTCTCTCTCTCTCTCTCTCTCTCTCTCTCTCTCTCTCCACGTATATGTAATGTTTTTTCTTTTCCCTTTGACCTATATTCTGAGGCAAATATTTGACAAGCTTGCATAGAATTGGAGTTTTATGAACAAATGAATGTTTTAAGCATGAGGATGACAGAGTAGGAAGGAAACCAAACAGTACATTGGGAAACTAGTTCATACTTAAGCAGGTTATAATGTTTAACCAAGAGCAGTGTCCTCTGTACTTACTTCTGTAGCATAAATGTATTTCAAATCAATTATGACTTTAATGTCTTTAATTCACGAATGTCTCAAATTCTAATATTGCCATTCTATGCCCAGAATTGTTGGTAGAAATCCTTTATTGAGCCAGGCGATTTGGGAAACACCATTGTAACATTCTTCCTTTATTATCTCTTGGCAAACCATGGGACTCTAGAGTAGATACAGGGCAGTTCCCTTTATATCCACTGTTACCTCCCCGGCCTCCCAGACATTTAGCCATTTTAATAATTAACTTTTCTACCAAAGCTGCAGTCCTCTTCAAGATAATATAACTAATCTTCTAAAGTTGCTATAAATTGAGTTAATTATGGTACTTGTTTAAAGCTGCAGTACTGAATGATTGCTACATAGGATATACTTAAAAGAACCTAGAATTAACTGGGCATGGTATTACATGATTTTAATCTCAGCACTTGGGAGGCAGAGGCTGGATTTTTATAAGTTCAAGGCCAGGCAGGGCTACATAGTGAGACTGTCTAAAAACAAAACATTAAAAGATCCTTAAGGGTTAGAGAGATGGCTTAGTGGTTAAGAGCATTGGCTGCTCTTCCAGAGGAACCGGGTTCAATTCCCAGCACCCACATGACAGCCCACAACCATCTGTAAGTCCTGTTCCAGGGCATCCAACACCCTCACACAGACACACACACAGGCAAAACACCAGTACATAAAATACAAATAAATAAATAATGTAAAAAAAAAAAAAAAGCCGGGCGTTGGTGGCGCACGCCTTTAATCCCAGCACTCGGGAGGCAGAGGCAGGCGGATCTCTGTGAGTTCGAGGCCAGCCTGGTCTACAAGAGCTAGTTCCAGGACAGCCTCCAAAGCCCCAGAGAAACCCTGTCTCGAAAAACCAAAAAAAAAAAAAAAAAAAAAAAAAAGATCCTTAAATGCAGTCCAGTGTGGTACTAAAAAAAAAAAAGGAAGGGTATAAAATTAAATGGCGAGCCGGGCGTTGGTGGCGCACGCCTTTAATCCCAGCACTCGGGAGGTAGAGGCAGGCAGATCTCTATGAGTTCGAGGCCATCCTGGTCTACAAAGCGAGTTCCAGGAGAGCCTCCAAAACAATACAGAGAAACCCTGTCTCGAAAAACCAAAAAAAAAATTAAATAAATAAATGGCGAATTACTTATTAATTTGCTTGTTTATTTAGTTTTTTGAGATAGAGTTTCTCTGTGCAGCCCTGGCTGTCCTGGAACTCACTCTGTAGACAGGCTAGCCTAGAACTCACAGAGATTCCCCCTGCCTCTGCCTCCCGAGTACTGGGATAAATGGTGTGCACTACTACCATCCAGCTAAAGATTTTTGTCACACACAACAAAAAAATTAGAAATAATTCATGGGGTTAATTTGTAATTTGCAAGGATATATATATGTATTTTCTCTGTTTAAAGTCTTGGCTGAAACTTAGAAGCCCCTCTCTCCCCTGTCCTCCCTGTGCTGTCAGTGTGGTGATCCCCTCTGAAGAAGGGAAGCCCACTTCCCACTGACACGAAGGGCACTCGGCACCTGTATGATGGTCAAGCACAGTTTAAGCCTCTGAGGTCGTTAAGTGTAACTCTCCTGGCCTTTTTATATAATAAGCACTTATCATCAAGGTGACTTTTATAGTGGAATCAACCACATGGTGGAATGACATTATTTACACATTTAACTTGTGTAAGTGAGATCATACCAAACCAAAACAACAACAACAAAAGGAGAAAGGAAGTACATGAGAGAGAAATAATTTAAATAGCGTGTATTCACGCTTCTGTTTCTATAAATCCAAGACAGTGAAATAAATTAATATGGAATAATCATATAAGATTGGTAAAAGCTAAAGAAACAATGGCAGGATGGTGCTAAAGGACTCCTGATTATTAATAACGCACGTCACGGAGGGTGAGTGAGTAGCAGAGCTTTGTTTACAGAAATTAGTGACAGTGGTTGAGAAGGTGTGTTTAAGAATTAGAGAAAATTGTCGGTCTTGTAGGTTCAGATCTGTAGTCCCAGCTGAAACTAGAAGGATCACAAATTCAAGGCTAGCCTGGAACTTAGTAAGAATCTATCTCAAAAATAAAAGTAAAGAGCTAGGGATGGACTTATCTTAGCACTTGACATATCCCAGAGTACCCCAGAGCATGTCAAACAAACTAGCAACACATCTGTAGCCTCGACACCAACATCACAAGACCCTTAGGGGTGGGCAAGACACTCTTCAAAAGCCTGATGACCTGAGTTAGAGCCTGAGACCCCACCCAGAAGTGGAGGGAGAAAAGAAGTGACTACAGCGTTGCTTCTGACTTCCACTTGCACACTCCCATCATGCCCATATACTATAATAAAAGTAATAAATATAAAATTTAAGGCCAGGTGGTGGCGCATGTCCTTAATTCCAGTGCTTGGGAGTCAGAGGTGAGCAGATCTCTATGAGTTTGAGGCCAGCCTGGTCTACAGAGTGAGTGCCAGGATAGGTTCTAAAGCTACACAGAGAAACCCTGTCTCAAAAAGGAAAAAAAAAAATTTAAAACAGAGCACATACCTTTAATCCCAGCACTCAGGAGGCAGAGGCCAGAAAATTGAGTCTTGAGTTCCAGGACTGCCAGGGCTACATGAAAAACCCTAACTCAGCCACCCCCCCCCAAAAACAAAACAAAACAAAACTGAACTTCCTCCACTTCTAGGCCTAGGTGACTATTTCTTTTCTTATCAATTGTAGTAATCTCTGCTGTCCAGCGCCATTGTACTCTATTGCAAGGATCTTTCTCTGTCATATTCTCTGCCAATTAACTGTGGATTGATGCTGAGTAAAATGCCATACTTGATAAAACTGCCCTTTTTGAAGATATTTTTAGTTAAATCTAACATATGAAATACATTGTTTTCTGTGCCCATACAGGTGAACATGATTAAAGATGACGGAACAGTCATTCATTTCAATAACCCCAAAGTCCAAGCTTCCCTCTCCGCTAACACCTTTGCAATTACTGGTCATGCAGAAGCCAAACCAATCACAGAAATGCTTCCTGGAATATTAAGTCAGCTTGGTGCTGACAGCTTAACAAGCCTTAGAAAGTTAGCTGAACAGTTCCCAAGACAAGGTATGTATTTCAATTTAGTACTTTTCCCCTCTTCCCCACATTAGATAAGAACCTAGGATTTAAAAAACATCCCATCTAGGCTGGAGAGATGGCTCAGAGGTTAAGAACACTGACTGTTCTTCCAGAGGTCCTGAATTCAATTTCCGGCAACCACATGGTGGCTCACAACCACCTTGAATGAAATCTGGTGCCCTCTGCTGGCATGCAGGCAGAAGACTGTATACACAATAAAAATGAATGAATGAATGAATGAATGAATGAATAAATAAATAAATAAATCATCCCATCTGAGCCAGGTGTTGGTGGCGCACGCCTTTAATCCCAGCACTGGGGAGGCAGAGCCAGGCGGATCTCTGAGTTCGGGAGGCTCTGGTCTACAGAGCAAGTTCCAGGACAGCCTCTAAAATAATACAGAAAAACCCTGTCTCAAAAAAACCAAAAAAAAAAAAAAGTTGACAGAGTCCTAGCCTAGTATGCATAAGGTTTTGGTTGGATGGATGTGATGGCACATGCTTGTAATTCTAGCAGAAGGGTCACAACTTCAGGGTTATCCTCAGCTGTCTAGGGAAATTGAGACCAGCCTGTGCCAGAGACCCTGTCTCCAAAAAAAAAAAAAGTGTCCTAGTTAAACTGAGAGGATTTGCCTCAGTAGATAATTCTTATACTTTCTATAACATTACCTGTGTGCTTCATAAAACTTAGTTTGCTTTTTCAATTAATGAAGTGTGTATTATAGAATATTTAGATACAGTATTGTCGATTGCTACTATGATTACCATTATATACATGGTAATCATAAATTCTGATTTTCCAAGTTGGTTTTGATTTCAGGCCTGTCTTGTTGTCTCTAACCATCAAAAAGCCTCTTATTTCAGTGATCATGTGGTCATACTGCATAGCTAGTTACTTAGATCAAATGAAGTGGAAAAGAAATCTCGAATATTTTTTATGTGGAGAATACCTTTGCCCAAGCTTGTAAAATTCTTCATTTTGCATGTAACTTTTACCTTTACTGAACAGTGGAATTACTGCTCTAGTTAATGTATATTTAATTAATTTAAAATATTAGTTTTGAGTGTTATTTACACAGAAAAAAGTGAATTATAAACTGATTGTATTTAATAGCCATAGGAGATTTAGACAGATAATATTAGAGGTGTTCCTTGTTCTCAGTGACTAATATTTACATAAACTCTTTGTAGTATTGGATAGTAAAGCACCAAAACCAGAGGACATTGATGAAGAGGATGATGATGTTCCAGGTAAATAATGTTTTATTAGTGTTAAAATTTGTCTCAGACCAGTAAGACTTGCACAAGTTGTCCTCTGACCTACACATGTACATACACATGCATGCACATACACACATGTACATACACATACACATACATATGCATGCACGTACACATACATGTACACACATAACATAGTACAGTGTCATTTTTAAAACAAAGGAAAATAATTTATCTCCTTTCTCTTATTGCATAGATGACTTTCAGAAATTTTTTGACTGAATTTCATTTGATTTACAGTGATATGGATAGTGTTAGGTTTCTAGTTAGATATTAGTTGGCTTGGAAGACACTGGATGGAGATGGACACCTTCCTCATAATCATCAGCCTATAAAACCAAAGCCTGGAACTTCAGGTCAGAATAATGTTCCCTAAGTTCTGTCTCTGGCCATGGAAGGAGACATGACATCTTGAACTGCCATTATATATTACTATCTAAACCTGGCTCCAGGAATGCTAAACCTTCATAAAAGATTATTGTAGCCAGTGTTGGTGGTGCACACCTTTAATTCCAGCACTCAGGAGGCAGAGGCAAGTGGATCTCTGTGAGTTCAAGGCCAGCTGGTCTACAGAGTGAGTTCCTGGGCAGCCTCCAAAACAATACAGAGAAACCCTGTCTCAAAAAACTAAAAAAAAAAAAAAAAAGATTATTGTATAGTAGAAGGCTATCTGATAAAGAACCAAGACACACTATTATTGCCTTACATTAGTGTCAAACCAAACAGGACTGTCACTTGCTTGAAAGTCCCTCAAGAAAAGCTGTTTGTAGCCAGTTGGTGGTAACAAATGACTTAATCCTGGCACTTGGGAGGCAGAAGTAAGTGGATCTCTGTAAGTTCAAGACCAGTCTGGTGTACATAGTAAGTTCTAAGACAGCCAGAGCTGTTAAACAGAGAAACCATGTTTTGAAAAACCAAAAAATTAAATTAAAAAAACTATTTGTTCTGGAGACTTTGGAAATAGTATACAGCCTACCTAAGATGTAGTTTGGGTCAATGGTCCCTTAAACATTGTCCACACTTACTCCTTTAGTGTGTGCTCTACTTCATTGTAAATTAATTTAACTGTCTTTTAGCTGTTTCTTTGTGTTTTGTCTAAATCCTTTAGACAGAGATCATAAAGACCAGGGAGTCCAGACTGAGATCCCAGTGATGGGATATGATGAATAAAAATACAAAAATTCCCTTATTCAGAACTTAGAATCAGAAAATATTCCACGAAGTTCTGTTGCCCGCATGTATTAAATTGAAATTACTCTTATTATCAGTATATGTTGTTATTGTTGAAATTTTTTTTGTTGGAGGGCTGGAGAAATGGTTCAGCAATTAAAAGTACTGACCTCTGCTCCTGAGGACCTGGGTTCAGTTTCCAGAACTCACATGGTGGCTCACAGCCTTCTGTTACCCCAGTTCCAGTTTTGGTCTCTTTGGGTACTAATATGCCCATGGTACACAGACATACATTCAGGCAAAACAACTATATACATAAAATAATAAAATAATTTTTAAAAATTGTTGGCATTAAACTGAAATAAAAATGTCAGTCTAGTATTTTTACATACATTTTTAAAGGCCATTTCTGTAAGATTATTGCTTTTATAAAAGTCATTATTACTGAAATGTCATTAGTTCATTTCTGTCTTTTCTGGTTTTTTGACTAATGCTCGTTACAACTATTTTGATTCATTTGCATTTTTCCCTTTCTTTTTCTTTTTTTTTTGTCAGATCTTGTAGAAAATTTTGATGAAGCATCGAAAAATGAAGCTAACTAAAAATCCTCTGGGTTTTGGAAGCTGGCATGGACTAGATTTAACAATCAGCTCTGTTGTTCCAAAGTTTTACAGACACGGAGAACATCACCTGTTACTAGTTCAGTAATATAAATATTTTGTATATTAATAATGCTGTTTGTTCAGCATTTCTTGGTCATTTGATTTTGCATTTTGCACTTCTTCCCAGGATCTATTCTTTTGGTCAAAATATGAAGTATTGGTACAGTTTGAGGGTGGTTTTTTGTTTCTTGGGGGAATTTTTGGTGTGTATGTATATGTATGTATGTGGGTATGTGTGTACACAGTGGACAGCCAATTGGTAACCGTTATATCTACCCTTCTCCTTTCCCCACTAGAAATAAAACAAATCTTTACATTTGTTACCTTTTTTTTCTAATACTGTACAAAATTGATGAAAAGTGAGTATCTTTAATTTCAGATCTGAAGAGATTCCTAATGTTGGAAGTTTGGTTTTAATTTGCTCAATTAACTTTAATATTTTTATATACTTCTCTGGATTGAAAATATCTTAAAATATTTTGCCCCCAGATTGCTGCCAGAGCCATAAGTCAGGTACCTTTGATGTGGCTGCCTTAGACTCACTCACTAATCAGACCCAGAAATACTCCTTTTATTAGCTTTCTTCCTGCTGCCTCACCCCTCTATTTTGGTCTTGAAATGAACTGGCCAGCCTTTGATAATACTCTTATCTCCTGCCTAGCTTGAGACAGAAGTTCTCCATACAGAGCTGAGAGAGTGCCTAATCCCTCTTTTTGTTCTTCACCTTGAACGGCTCCATCTTCAGTGTTTTATTTCCCTTCACATTCACAGTTTGGTAGATTTCAAACTGGAGTAGCTAGCATGTGCTTGCTAAATAACTTTATGCCAGGCTAATCCTGTTACGTAGCTGTTGTCAGTAGCAGGTGCAAGAGTGCCTCTTTTTCAGCAAGGCTGAAACTGGGACCGTCCTTTTGAATGAAAAGAACATAGGCTATAGACTTATCTCCTAGCATAAATGGGCATTCTCTGAAATGGTACTAGCCACAGGAGAATTTCTTCAGCCACTCTCCTCTTCTTGGCCTTGAACTTACCTCTGAGTAGATCTGATTGATTGTAGCTGCTCATAACACCCTCCTGCATGCTTAGATAATGCTTTGGGGGAAACAGTGGTAAGACACAGCATTTATTTGCTTACCTCCTTGCAGAGGACTTGATGGTAAGTTATATTCATTCACTCAGGTTTTCTTCTTGCTGTCTGATAAAAGCTTGTGTTTTGCATATCAGCATTTATTATAGCCAATATTTTAGGATAAGGTTTAAAGAATCTATTATTTCCTGGCCCATCACCAAACTGACTGCCCCTTAACCTTGCAGCATGTCAACTTTTGTTTCAAGCTAGAAATCTGTCCTTGATACTTAAGATGCAAGACCAACAGCATACTGAGAGATCTATAGACATGAAGGCAAAGCTCCTGTGTTTTTTCATCCAAACATTTTCAATTTATTTTACAAATTTGTTGATTTTTTTCCTGTTTTGTTTTATATAATATATGGACTTAACAAAATAAAAATGATAATAAAATAACAGTACAAAAGAGGAAACTATTTCCTCTAGTGCTTCTGTTAATTGTTGTCTACAGTTCCTTTTCTATTTTTTCTCTACTCTCCATACTCAAATGAATTCTTATGGATTGTTTAAAATAATCTCATCCATTGTTAAGTCAGTAGCTGTACCTGGTCTAATTACTCCAGAATTTTGTTCCTCTGACTGCCCAAAGGCACACATTGTGAAGCAGAGAGCAGTGGGAGAGAGCAATGGACACTAGTGGGTGAAAAGAGAGCATATATCTAGAAGTGAGAACATTTGTCTTCTGGCTCAGATTCTCACATATGACCTTGTCCACCCACATCACCAAACTACTCTAAATTTCATCACCAGTCCAGTCAATATTTCTGAGTGCAAACTTTCTTCTGCTCTTGCAGTCCTGTGACTCTCACTATGGGAATTTTCTAAGAAGGGATTTTGTCATCTGTTCAGAGGTGTCTGGATTTTTTTTTACACGTTACTGTTTTATGTGTATGGGTGTTTGCTTATATGTATATCTGTGTACCGTGCGCATTTTTGGTATATATAGAGGCCAGAAAAGGGTGTCTGATACCCTGGGACTGGAGACATTTGTAAGCCACCATGTGGGTGCTGGGAGTCAAACCTAGATCCTCTGGAAGAGCAGCCAGTGTTCATAACTCCATAGCCATCTCTCAAGTCTCCAGCATGTCTTTATTTTTACCAGTACTTACACACTTTATGTACTTATTTCCCTTTGCATTTTGATCACATTTTAGCTTCTGAGAGTAATTCTGGTCAGTATCCCCTTTTATCCTATTGTCAACAGCTCTCCATTAATGGCCTTTGTTTTGTATAAAGAACGATTATTCTGATGGCTGGAGAGATGGCTCAGTGGTTAAGGGTACTGTTCTTGTAAACCTGAGCTTAGTTCCTAGCACCCACATCAGGTGGTTTCTAACTGTCTGCAACTCCAGCTTCAGGACATCTGACACTCTCTTCTGACTTCCTTGGCAACTGAACTTGTATACATACACACTAAAATAAAATTAAAACCGGGCATTGGTGACGCATGCCTTTAATTCCAGCACTCAGGAGGCAGAGGCAGACGGATACCTGTGAGTTCGAGACCAAGCCTGGTCTACCAAGCGAGTTCCAGGACAGGCTCCAAAACAATACAGAGAAACCCTGTCTTAAAAAACCAAAAAATAAATAAATAAAAATAAAATTGAAAGGCATGGTGTTGGTGCACGCCTTTAATCTCAGCACATGGGAGACAGAAGCAGGTGGAGCTCTGTGAGTTCAAGGTCAGCCTTGTCTACAGAGAGAATTCCAGGATAGCCAGGGCTACACAGAGAAACCCTGTCTTGGGAAAAGAGAAAAAAAAATTGAGCAATAGTTTTTCTTTCATTTCTACACGTCCCTTTTTTGAACAAAAATAAATTGAAATGCTCAACAAAGAATTGCTTATGTTTTTAGGGTGGATAGGCATAGAATACAGGTAAAAATTTGGGTGAAACTTTAGGAATCTGTAGTTCTTGGCATAAATATTGAATTCAATAGTTATAAATGTGTGTGTGTAAGTAGTTGGTAGTATATGCTTTTTAAATAAAGCGTAGGTATGAGTTTCCTAGAGATAGTGGCCTTACATTTTAAGAATAATGCAAGGAAAGGTGAGAAGGAAAAGGAGAAGGGAGGGAAGGGGAAAAGTACAGATTGCAAGAAACTGATGTGTAGCCTGTTGTATTTTTGAGACCGGGTCTTGCTGTGTATTCCTGGCTCACCTGGAAGTCGATTTGTAGACTAGGTTGGCTTTAAACTCACAAATGTGCCTCCCAAGTTCTGGGACTAACAACATGCAACATCACACCTGATTAGGTGTGTAGTCTTTTTATGATTAGACTTTTTAAAAATAATTTATTCTTATTTTGTGTACATTGGTGTTTATGTCAGTGTGAGGGTGTCAGATCTTGGAGTTACTGACAGTTGGGGCTGCCATGTGGGTGCTGGGAATTGAACCCAGGTCCTCGCTGAGCCATCTCTATAGCCCCATGTCTTTTTTTGGGGGGGAGGAACTCTCAAATAGTTGAACTATTAATATTTATTTTATTATATCTTTTCTATCACATGATGGTTTAAGAATCAATGAGTGCTTAGGATTCCATTTAATTCATTTTAAGAAGCCTACCAGATCCTAACAGAAAAGCTGTATATAAAACATACTTGATTGCTTTGGTTTTTTTTTTTTTTTTTTTTTTGGTTTTTTTCGAGGCAGGGTTTCTCTGTATTGTTTTGGAGCCTATCCTGGAACTCGCTCGGTAGACCAGGTTGGTCTCGAACTCACAGGGATTCACCTGCCTCTGCTTCCCAAGTGCTGGGATTAAAGACGTGCGCCACCAACGCCCGGCTGATTGCTTTGTTTTAATTAAGGGTTTAGCATTTGTTTTTAAGGATTTATAGTTTTGTTTAAATAGAATATGAGATGCACCCTTGAACTGAAGCACAAATGTTGGTCTGTATGGAAGCTGGTAAGAATAAAATAGGCAACCCCAGCTCAGAAAATTAATATAGTTTCAATTTCTGTGATGTCTAGGTGTACTTTTTTTTTCCTGATTTTGAGTTGCTTACTAGCAGGATTTTTATGTTCTTGAATGTTCTTGAAACACTTCCTTCTGCCATTGCCACTGTCAAAGTTAGTTTGAGAGACGGTTCCTGGCAATTAATGATCCTAGATTTGGATATCCTCTACAAAAATTTATTGAAGGGCTGGGTATAGTGGCATGTGCCTTGTAAATTTAAGGCCAGCGTAGGCTACCAAAAAAAAAATCCTGACTGGGGATGTGTGGTGCAGTTGTAAAGTCACTTGCCTATCAGTTTCTCACAACAGGAAATAGCATGTAGTTGTTTAGTGTGAGGAAAAACATATTTGGGGTGCCAGTAGCAGCCCCATAACCATATCTTAGTTCTACTACCCCTTACATGCCTTGGGTGATTTGTTTGCTGAAGTAACATGGCACATAGTAAACACTGGCTTTTATTGGCAAAGAATAACAACTATATGTTTTCATCAATAATAGGTAATGGTTTAGTCCGATTTGCAGTATTTACTGGCTCAGACATCTCAGTAGGTAATCTAGGCTGGGCTTGAATTTATGATCATTCTGTCCTAGCTTCAATCTCAAAATGTGTCATCACATCTGGTTTGTAATATATACTAGTTAAGAAATTTGTTCTTGAGTGTCTTCCCCATTTGACCCCCTCCCCAAATCCTTGCAAAATGTCAGAGGAAGGAATAGTAATGGATGATTTAAATATGCAGATAGAGTAAAATTGGACTCTGAGCTTCTTGGGAACAATGACTAAGTTTTATTTCTTTGTCTACAGCTTTCAGCACAGGGACCAGCATATATTAAGTGCATATCGGGTAAACTTTGAATCAGTTGTATTTAGCAGTTTGTGAAAGACTAAGTATTTGAGCCAGATGGCTAGAGGTTTTACAGAGTCATGTATACCAAGCCATGGTGTTACTCATACTCATCCTTGAATCTGTCTTACCCTGGGCCCCAACCCAGGCTACCTGCCTCTATATCAACTGACAAAGGGACCACAGAAATATTCCAAATGTAAAACCTATCATCTCTAAAACCCAAAGGAGCCTAGCAAATGTACTTGCTGCTCCTAATAAGTGGAAATGGCTGTTCTTCACTCTGGAGGGAAATGCCCAGATCATTGAACTCCTCAAAGAGGGTGTGTCAGGCCTCTGAATCTTTTATAAGTTGTCTTCCAAGCCTTAGTATGCCCTCCAGTGTACT